GAGGCCGTTGTTACACAAAAGAAAACAATATGATGGGTCCTTACAGAGAGCGCATTGTCTCTATAGAATGTATACATAAATAGAGTCAGAGTTAGGAGGCCGAAATCTAGTTGGCCGGATGATAAATTGCTGGCCAGACGCCAGCTAAGGTTTCTAGCAATTGTTATGAACTGTTTATGCCTTAGCCTGGGGCAGCTGTGGGCAAACGAAACGCCCGCCAATTAATGGAGGGGGACTCCTCTATTTTTTGTAGGTACAGTTGCTACCGAACCTATCAGAACTCAATCAAAGTCTTTTCACACCTCCGGCAACTTATCGCACACATCGATCAAGGGGGGAAGTGCGCAACTTAACGGACCCAAGTCCCGCATCATGGATTGCAGCAACCATAACAATCGTATTAATCGTGCGATAGTAAATTAATGCAAACCATTGTAAGGTTCGACACGATTCCTGTTAGTAACGCTGATTAGGATCAGGCCACGGCCTCACGCACCACGCAAGGATACATTAATGTGTCAACATGTGCGATAAGTCTGAATTCAGAAAACAGAGTGGAGAACACACAGTAGTTGTCGCTGGTAGCCCACAAAAGCAAATATAATTCTGATGTCTAGTTCCTGGTAGTGAGATATTGTGTACAAAAGATCTGATAGGGATCACACACACACACTGTCACACACACACATACTCTGCACAGCGAACACACATGATTCGTGCGAATGTCACAGCGACCACAACAATGTGCGCATAATGAGTAGAGGGCAAGCCAAAGCAGAGGAACCGAAGCCAGGAGCCAGCAGGATTGCAGCGTTGAGATATCACATGCTACCAATATATTTGAGAACTCCCTGGGCGCAGTTCTCAAAGCCATAAACTACATTCCTTTTTTTTTTTTTTGTACATTTTGAAAACAATTTTAATGCCTCTTTTTGGCATGCTACATAAATCTTTTGGCAGGACATGGACGCTTGAGGAAAATTTCATATCACTTTTTATTGCGATATGCAAATGGCTTGTTTGGCTTGATTTCCATTGTCTAGTCCTATGCTGACCTTCAACCCTTCGCTTAGAGCACACAGCCAGTATGCGGTTGACCGCATTTTCAACGGTTTCCGCTCGCTCTTCCAGAAAGGGTTGGCATCAAGTTTTTTTTGCTTTCTTCTTTTTAAGCGCTAACAACTTGATTAGAAAAACTTGCCGTACATTATTCTTGATTAAGTCACATTAATTATGATAATGATGACGACTGTCTCGAATCGCAGCATTCAAAGGCACACCCAGGCCCTGGGTTTGTAAAGAGGGGCAATTGAAACGGGAACAGGATATTGTTTGACTTCAAGGTCCAGACAATGCAGCGACGTGTGCGCGAATAAAAAATGAGCAAAGCAAAAAAGATCATAAAAAAAATAAAACTGGAGAATAGAGCAGCAGAGAAGCCGAACAGAGAGAAATACATATATGTATGTGTGATAAATGTCAATTTCCTGCTCAGCATCCGACACGCCTGAACTCGACCGAACTGGCTGCTGCCTGGCTGATGACTTCATCTGTAGGATATCTAGATTATATACGGAAGTTATCTAATAACGGCTGACACTTTTAATCCTTTTATGAAATTAATCAAGTGTGCCCATGAAAGAACCAATGTCCAAATCGTGCAGCTGTTTGTGCTGCAGATGCAATTCACGCTCTGCTCAGCCGAAATTTTGAAATACTTTTCTAATTGTTAGCAAAAAGAGATTGAAAACTTCATAATAGAGGGTGGCTGTACATGTCTAGACAGCATAAAAATGTACTTAGACATTAAAAAATCAATTTTGAGAGTTTGAAATTTCGGGAAGAAATTATTAAAAATGTGCCGCATAAGCTAAGGATTTGTTCTATTTCTTATCAGATTTCTTCATTTTTTATTAATTTTTTTTTCAGAATTGTGTAAGCTCCTGAATTCAAACTATATATAAATTAAATCATTAAAGTTGCATCGTATTAATATCTTATAGTAGGCTGCCTGTTTTTAGTATTCTATTAAAATGTCTAACATTTTCGATATTTTAACGAAGATTAAGCTAGGCAAGGACTTAAGAGACGTAAAATATTCACTTAATTCTCGCTTCTTTAGACTTAAAGCAAACAAGTGTTGACTATATGAAACCGGAGAAGTATGTTTACAATCCTTTACCGAGGAAATTATTATTTGCGCAGCAATAAGCAGTCAGTAAATCAAAACTGTAAGCAAAATATTTCTCTTTTTATTTGAAAAGCTTTCGGAGGTCAATAGCCAACTGAGCATGTTACAAATTGATTGATTAAATGCCATATAAAGATTATAAAATGAAGAAAACTCATAAAATGCAATTTCAATTATTCAACTCACATGATAAGCGAGAGACATTCATAAATTAACCATAAGACAGACTAAAAACAAAACAAAAAAAATCAAACAAAGTTAAAAAAAAATTTATGGACATTCATTGATCAGTGCATGAAATTTTATGCTTTATGTTGTGTCGTATGTGATTTCCGCTCGGGAACTGCGCTAGGTGGGCTAGACCCATCAAAAATGAAAAGGAGAAAAAAAAAGAGAAAGAAAACTAACTGAAAATCAAACTAGAAATGCAGTCTGCATATTAAAAACAAAAGAAACGAAGAAGGAAACAGTATTCCAGCCAGAGTTCGCAGAGTTTTAAGAGTTTTCGGTTGCTGCTCAGCAGCTGGTAGCCAAGCGCAGTGGGCACTCGTCTAGAAAATGACAAATGAGCAGAAGCTGGATCACGAAAAATCTCAGCTGAAATGTCAGTAGGCAGAAAGTTGTCAAAACAAATGGTTAAAGGCAAAACGGATCATCATCATCTTTGGCTAAACAATTCGAAAACAGTTGCAAAATGTGCAACTACTTGAACTAACCATTCGGTTTTTGTCTACCCATCCTTGAGCAGTTGCGATCATTAATCATGAATCATGCAAAAAAAAAAAAAAACAAAACAAGAACGCACTTAACGCTTTGCCAAACAAGAGAAACGAAATGAAATCGACTTAAATTAGGCAACTTCTTGGGTTACCGTTTGATCGATTTCGCCGACTCGAGATCCTAATGCCCACCACTTCAGAGTTTGTGTTTATTCGGTTCTATTGATTATGTCACCGCAATGTCATTAATTATGCCTTTGTTTAGGCCTGGCTGTCACTTTTGTGGTTCAGCAGCCCAAAAACTAGACAATCTTTCGAGTGCAACAACATTCGAACGGGTTAAGAGCTAACCGACCAGAGAGAAAAAAAAACCATCTAGGTAGATAGAACCGACGCCTAATGCTTATGAATTTCTAATGTTGCGTCATTAATCAAGCAGTCAAAGGTGTTTTGATTTTGGCATACGTTCAAGGCTACCTAACTAGCAGCCCAAAACAAACAATTGACACACACTCTCACACACACAAACGTATGCACACATGACATTGGACATTGTTGCAAATACATTGGCGCGAGGCCTCTGGCTCGCGAATCAGTGGCAACTTCTACAACTTGCAACATGCAATCGCGAAAATTTGTGCCTGCGAAACTAGAACACGAATGAGAACTTTTTTTATTATATTTTTTTTTTGTGTGAGGCCCCATTATCTTGGGCGCTTTGTTTGGCCAAGAAGAATAGAAGGAGAACCCCAAAACGAACCTAAGGTCAATCTTAATAGGTTCGAGGCACTGAGCCATTGAACTTGTTGGGTAGCACACACCTTGACTCCGTTTCGGCAGCTAGAGAGCTTGCATTAGCACATGCTATTAATTCTTCAGCGCTTGTGCATTGTTATAAGAGACTCAAGACAGTCCCCCCGACTGACGGACGGACAGTTCGACAATCCAATAGACAGACAGTTGTTAACAAGACACCCGAACTGGAGGGCCCTGCGGCTCGAATGTTAAGAATCCGGCACACAGTCGATTGTGCTCAGCTTAAAGATACTCTGTTTAGTTAAGGATCGTTATGATATGGCAATAATATGATATATCAGTTCGAGTTCCTTAAAGGTGGTATCATATGCTCTAAAATATCTGAGATAATAATATATTTATAAAACTACGATGCCTCCTACCAAAGCTACATATTTATTAATATTCGTTTAGGGTCAAGGATACCTCTTTCTATGCTTTAATTGCTCCTCTTAAGTATATTGTATTTACAGGGTATCTGAAGAAAAAAAGATCTCATAGTTACACAACGCACAAAATGCGTTAATTAACAGAAATATGCAGCGCCCACTTGGCAACTCTGGCTCGAGTAACGCCCCACAGCAGCATTCAATTTGTTTATAGCAGGGAGCAGGCGTTGGGGTATACCCCTATATGGATGCTATAGACTATGCCTTCGGCTTATTATTTATGATTTTTCGCATAAATTTACGCGAACGCTCGTAAAATTGCGTGAAATACGACATTTTGAGTTCTGTGAAAGTGTAACACGAACAGCTCAAGACTGGCATTGGGATTGGTATTGGAACTGGGACTGCGACTGGGACTGGGACTGATGCATGAACCTGGACCTGCACAAGGCTGCTGGCCGATCGATGAGTGTGTGAGAGAGAACTAACTTGGCATGAACAATAAGCCAACATCTTGGTGATTTGTAGCTTTCAGCGTTAACTTCGCAACAATGTTGCTAATAGATGTTGCTAAGCTGCCGCCGCGAACGCAACACTATGCAACAAAAGCTCTAAAGTTCCTTTGTTATAGTTTTAGCTGCCGAAAGCTTTCACCTTCAGTTGTATGAAGCAGACGAAGATTAAAAGGCGCTCCAGCTATATCCTCTTCAAATGGAAAAGAAATTCGTAGTATTATATATAATCCTTTTTTAAAGCTTCACATTCATAAAGCTGGCGACATAAACTTCCATTTTCTTTTCCAATCTATTCAAATATTTTCCAAACATTCTACTGTGTTCCATTATTTTGGGTTCGTGCACTTGGTACAAATATATTGGTGTATTTTTAATAGTTTTAATATTGATTTTAATCGTCAGCCAAGTCACCGACTGTAAGTGTGGCCGGCGGTGCTGTAGCTGTTGCTGCGGTCACACTGAAAGGGAGACCGTGCTGCGTGGCCGAGGCCCAGCTGCGTCTGGGCAAAATTCGACCGAAATTAAAGTATTTTTGCCTCAACTTATCCTTGATTTCATCCTCATTCATTATGGCGCTCGCCTCCCGAAAGTTCAGGAAAATGCGACCCTTTTCATCTGTTTTGATCGGCAAAATCTCGGTGCAAACGTTGCGCGCCTTGAGCAAAAAGCCTTCCTCTTCGTGCTGCATGGCTTCACCATCGCCTTGGCTTAACTGATCCTCGGGCACTACGACGACGGTGTCCAGACGCGAGTCCATTGATTGGGAGCGCGGCGGTGGCTTTGCTATGGCTACATGATTTTTCTTCTTGCGCAGACAGAAGGGATCTCGGTCGCTGGCCTTGACGTACTGCACCATGGGCCTGTTGACGCCCCATTTGGGTCGATCATCCATTTTGTTGGCGTCCTTGTCCTTGCCGTGAGTCTTTCTGGTCTTGTCCTTGTCCTTCTCTTTGCTCTTCGCCTTGAATGTGGTTGTTGTCGTTGTTGTGGTTGTTGTCGTCGTCTCGTGATCCTTCTCCGCTGCGGATTCCTTGGCCGGCTGTGTTTGCGTCTTCGACGTCTGCGTTGTGGTTGTGGTGGACACTTCACGCTTCAAAAGCACCTTGTAAAAGTTGTCATGGAAAAGGCACAGATCACAGTTTAGCGGCAGTTCCGTCTGTGTCTCGACATCGGCCTGCAGCGATCCATCAGTGCGTTGTCTGCTAGCCGATTCGCCAGCTGGCAGTGGCGTCTTAACGGGGATGAGCGCCAGCTTATCCTGCTCGGCTGGCGCGTGCGCCATGTCCACCTCCAGTGAATCTGGCGAGAAGCAACCGCTCGCCGTTTCCAGTGCTGTGCGACCGGAACGCGCTGTATGCAACAGCTCCTCATCCTCCTCCTTCTCCGCCTGATAGCCATCCTCCGTGCAAATGGACGTATCCGTGCGCTGTGTCATAGTTGCCTTGGAGTAGCTCTGCTCCATGCTGGCGGGTGGCTTCATCTGCGGCTGCTGCATAAAGTATGTGGCGATCTGCAGATTCCCTATGGCATTTTGTAGTCCAAATATATCGCTGGTTACAGGCAGTGGAATTAATGTAGCCGGCTGCATGAGCAGCGCCAAGTTCTCCTTATCCTCGCTGACGAATGTAGCCTGCGGCTTGGACTTTCCATTGGATGTCGGTGCGGGTTCAGTGGTTGCCTCCGCAGTTGGCTGCTTGATGGGTTTAGTAATAGTGCGCCGTAGATTGATGGGCGTGCCGATGAGCACCTTCTCCTCCGTGACCGAAACTGGTACCGCTGTTGCAGCTGCTGCTGGTGGCGGCGCTGCACGTGGCGTATGGCTGCTGTTGTCTGCATCCGCTGTAGTCTCTACATGCTGATCCAACCCCTCATCGTCCTCCTCCACGGAGAGCACTTTTAACAACTCCGGCTTGTCGGGCTGGTCCTGACTTTGCCTGTGCTCCTTCGAGGGCATACGATTCTTGCGTTTTTTTTGTTTTTCCATTTTGGCCGCCATTTCCGCCTGGGCGATGGCATCCAGCATAGCCTGCTGCTTCTTTTTCTGTGCCTCCTCGCGCTCCTGCACCTGACGACGCTCGAACTCCAAACGCTCCTGTTCCAATTGCTTCTGCCTCCGCATGCGCTCCTCCTCCAGCTGTTCTTCCTGTCGATGACGCTCCAGCTCCCATTTGCGGATGAGCTCCCGTTCATGCAGCTGCTTTTTGATCGCATTGTGATACTCGGCTGCCTTGCGCCTCTTATCCATGCGCTCGGCCAACGTGTGCGCGTCGAGTGGAGCATTCTGACCACGCAAATAGGTGGACGAGGATTGCACGGATTGCACATCGTCCTCGCTATCCTTGAGATCGTGAACGCCGCGATTTAGCCAGCCCGGTTCTGGCACCGCCAGCTGCTGCTGCACATTGTAGTTGGCCCAGCGGGCGCGTTCCCGATCCCGCTCGTGCTGTTCGTGCACGTAATAATCGCCCTGCTCGGAGGTGTTGCTGATGTGCACCTGATATGTATTCGATGTGGATACATCGCGACTGAGGCTCATGTTTGAGGAACTAGAAGGCGCAACCACATAACAACAGCTGCCCAGGTGAAGAGAACCCGTTAGCTGCTTGGACTTAGTTCAAGTTTAAATTGAATTACTCACCCGTCTGCCAAGTAGCCATCGGCTGCTTGTGGCTCATAGCTAGGTCGCTGCGCTGGCACACATCGTCCCTTAATGGCATACGGCTTGGACGCTTGTGGGACGACTGTGGGCGTGAGCGTGGGCGTGGGTATAGGCATGGGCAGGGGCATGGGCATGGGTATAGGTGCACCCTGTATCGATCGCCTCAAACGCCTAACGTTCCCAGCTGCAGCGCTAACAACGCTCCCCTCGGCCTGGCTGGCGCTGCCCATGCCACTAATGCTCCCATTTTGGCTGGCGGCGTCGTTATACCAAATATCGGGCGAGTGTGTGTTCTTGGGCGTATCACTCAGATAGCCGGAAGTGTCCTCTTCCTGGCAACCGGCTGGCGCTTGACTCGCATTTGGATTGTTAAATCGATGTGGCATGTTGCCGTTACTGGGATCAGTGTTTGTTCCCTTCACGTTGCCATTGACTTGGCCAAGTTGTTTGGCCCCCTTTTGCTGCTGCTGCTGCTGTTCCTGGTGTCTCCTTACATACTCCCGCTGTCTGATGGTAGGTAAACTAGGACTCCTAAGCCGTTGCGGTTGCTGCTGTGGATGTTGCATGCGTCCCTTGGCCGTTTGCAGCGATGTGGTCACCAACTCCGGGTAGCGCCCGGTTGGCGCCTGCAGCTGCTGCAACTGCCGCTCGGACATGCCAGGCGCATAGCTGCCACGACGATTGCGCTTGTACAGCATTTCATCATCCTCGAATTCGGCATCGGCATCGACATCCAGATCATCGATATAACGCTCCACCTGATTCATATAATCCTGACTGTGCTGCCGTTGCATTTGTCGATAGTTCGCGGCGACGGGTGGACGCACAATCAGCTGCTGCATGGGCTGTCCGGCCGCTTGGCGGGCATGACTGGAGGTTTGATTCGATGAGCTCTGACTGAGATCAAGATTCGAGTAGTAGGTGCGTATGGAGGTGCGTTCGATTTTGTGGTGCGACGTGGATGAAGTATGCTGGTGATGATGATGATACATCTCATCCATGCGCGCGATTTCCTCTGGGAAGAAGAAGAAGGCTAACTGTTTTGCAAAAACATTTCGAGCTTTCTGGACCCACCTCGCTCCTTAGCCCATTGTTGTTTCTTTAGGTCCAACAACCTATGCGTTTGTCTAGCTTCCGGCCCCGTAATCATGTCTATCCACTTAGTTCATTGCACCTGACAACTGAGGTCAGCTACTTACCCACTCAAACACACACACACACACACACACACGGCGCACTTGAGCTGGACACCACAACGGGGCAAGGCTAGGGCAAGTACTGAATGTGAGAAACTCAACAAAATTCCATCAAACTCGCGACACTGAAGCGAAATTCGATTTGTTTTGCATTGGAATGTCCTGCCAGAGTTGCCCTGGCAACCAGTACGTGTAAACAAACAAGTAACAAGAATTTTGTGTGGTTTGCATACGTTTAAATACCCTTTTACATTTTCTGTATACATTTTCTACATATGTAATATTTAATTTACTAATAATTATTTGCATCAATTATATGCAATCAAAATATTAGCCTTGCAGCCTTATGCATAATTTACACTTCTTAATACAAAACGGGCCTCTCCTATTTTAAACTATCCCACAAATTGCTTGAGCAAATCAGAACTCCCATAATAGAGCATTAAAACGTAGCCCAATGACTATAAAAGAAAAGGCATGACGGGGTAAAAGTCCTTGCACTCCGCTCGCAGTGGGTTAATGCAGTCAGAAGGGTTTCGCGTGCGAAACGCCTGTTGTCTGTTGTTTTCACATTTTTCGGGTAGTTCTTATACCAAAAATAATCCCGAATGGCGCGCGCAAATAGACATTTGCATATATATCATGTGGGTAAATATATGTGCGTGTTGGGCAGGCTAGTTAACGTTTTTATTGATTAGATGAATTCGTTAACTATGCAAATAAATCGCTTGGGCAGCAACAAGTCAGGCACTGGGGTCATTATCAAGTGGAACAAAAGTCAGGGCAAAAGCACAAAAAGGCGTAGGTGTCAGATGCGGAACGTCCTTCGTTGCGGTTAAGGAATGCAACTCGATTAAGAGTAGTACAACCTACCTACCTGAGCGCCTGACTTACAAAACTTTATTTCCCATGGTCAAATAGAAATGGCCAAAGATAAAAGGAAGAAATATCTCATAACCCATTTTCCATAAACATACATAAACCACAAAAGCCACAGCAAAAGTTAACCAGACTCATTGTTGTTGCTGTTGTTATTGTTGTTGTTTTGTTGCTGTTGGGTCTGGTTTATACGCGTGGGCGTAGAAATCACTGCCAGTCAAAAGGTCATGTTATGATCTTGAGCGAACTATGTGTCTAAGTCCGACGATGACGCTGAGGAGCATGGGAGCCCGAGCTCAACTCAGGCGGTTGCAGTTGCTGCACCACAACAACAACAACAAACACAACCAGAACAACAGCAACAACAACAACAACGAATATCAAAGACACAGAGCAAAGGCAGCAAAAAAAGATCAGAGCAAAACGGATCAGTGTAGAGCGATGCTATGGACGGTACGGCAATCAAGAAATCCCACTTGATACAAGTGCATTTATAAGACATTATAATGAGTTTTTATAAACTTAAACAGGGTCGCAGCCAACGCTATGCCCCGTCACCCGTGTTCGCCTTAGGGCGTCACTTAACTAGACTTGAACTTGGACAGGCTCTTGGAATCGGGCACTGTGCAGCATTGATCATGACTGAAGATGATAATTGCTACGAGCTAGGTCAACAGTTGAGCAGCAGCAGCAGCAGTACACATGTCACCAATGCGATCAGGTTTTGTGCCGTGTCCACTCTTTCCCAAAGAAAGTGAACAAGCGATCGGTGATCAGTGATCAGGCTAAAAAGTATTCGACAAATTCGACAAAATGATCGTGTCTTATGGCAGCCATTTAGGCAGCAATTTTCATACATCTTGGACAAGATTTCTACAGCGGTTTTCACTTGGTGTCCGAGCAGCAATCATCAATTGAACGATCAGCGGGCATTCGATCGCTCTATTCGATCGATTGTACGATCGAGCTAGCGATCGATCGATCGATCGATCGTTCGATGTATCATTTAGTGTATAACCTCAATACGGCGATCAATAAACAAACAAGCCAAATGCCTAATAATTGTAATTTACCATATTTTTGTCGACTATATGACGATCATAGACGAACCAAACACGATCGGGCCCCAAAGGCACACTGCACTCCATGGGAGTGGGAGTGGGAGTGGAAGTGGGAGTGCAAGTGGATCTGGGAGCGAGTGGACCTGTAAGCGTAACCGTTTAAATGGCAGGGCAGCTCAGCTCAGCTCGACGAGTACGAGTACGAGCTTCAGAGCCAGCACACTCTTGGATATGCAATACATATTGATCAAAACTGATGATGTTGACACGAACTTTGAACGAGGTACAACAAGCGATGACTTTACGATCGTCTAGGTCTGCTACTCCTCGTCTTCTTCTGCTCCTCCTTCAACAGTTTTTCAAGGGTTTCTTGGCGATATTTTCGTCAACACTCGTAAATTTGAACGATCTTCCCAAGTGTTTTGGGTATCGCATGTGAAATAACAACAACTTTATAAATTCTCAAGTGAGAGTTTCGTACAATTGATACATACACTTACACGAAAAGCTGGGCACACTGGCCATTGAATGGCTTTCAGCTCTGGCCACAATATCATCATCAACCAACTATCGATCGTTCGGCGTATCTTAAGCTAATTGAAGACCGGCTCGTTGGCTCTTCAACTCAATTGACATTTGGTGTGTGAGTTTCGTAAACAGCAACAGGTTAAAGTGTTTTTCATGTTGTTGTTGTCAGTTTATAACTGAAGAATTTAATTGTTAAGACGACACTTTTGGCTTTTGTTCGTGTGCTCTTGCATGTGCCACAGAATTTCTGCCAATACAATATTTGCTTTTGGTGTTGCAACCTTACCGCGTTCTCTTTGTTACTTTCAATTTATGTAGTTAGATCGCAGACCTGGCGTCGTCGTCACTGCCAAAAATGGTTAGCCAGACAAAACGTTCAGAGACGTCAACAACAACTGCAACAATAACAATGACAACAACGACCAGCAATCTGACCAACTGTCTGTTGGTCACATTGTAGCGCCAACACTCGCCAACAACTGTCAGGTGTTTAGATGCCTGCCTCAGATCTCTCTCTGACTGCGCCACGAGTCGCATTAGTCGCAGTAGTCTAATCGAGTCTAATCACTTAGACATGCAGCTTGTAATGAAGAGTTAGAATCACAACTGTAAATTACTTTCAAAGTATTTAGATAAGATTTGGATTATAACTTAAACCTCATTCAATTAACACAACCACCGCTTGCGAATTATAGTCGTATGTGTGGAATAAAGAAATAAGAGAAGCTGCCTTTTGATTAGAAATTATACCTAAACTTTTTAAATTCGCGCAAGAAGCGCTTGCGAACTATAACCTTTTGTCAAGAATAGCGAAGACTTAGAAGAAATAATTAAATGGAAGAAGAATATATCCAGATATTAGGATAAGTAAGAGATTCATCTCAATAAAAACTATTATTTCAGATAACTTCCGAAGCTATTAAATACTTTATTCTATGATCAGGGAATTATAAAACTTCTTAGGAAGTTCTTCAAGGATTTTAGTACTGTCTTCCCACCGAATATTATATCATTCTATTAGAAACTAACTTTTCCATTCATCAGATGCATCAGGCAATACCTTTCTGAAGAGTTAAGTTTGAATAATCCCTTGAGTAGTTCTATAAGTGCAACTGAGGTTCGGCTCAAAGCTGTTGGAGCCCAATGCGCCTGTTGCGGCTTGTAATTGTTGCCACTCGTCGCTGTTGTCGCTGGTTGTCGTTGATCGTCAGCGGGGCTGTTGCTGTTGTCCTCCAGCTGACAACATGCTACACTTTGGTCACTATAATGAGCCGTAATTAGTGCTGATGTGTGGACAACTTAGATGCCTCAGCAATGTGCCATGATAGGCCGCGTGTGAAAATTTGCGCGCTTTTTGATAATTGCGACAAAGAGTGCTTGTTGCTGTTTGTTTTTGTTGTTCGGTGGTTTTGTTGTTGGTGATCGTCGCTTGAACTGTGGCTCTGACATGGCCATGCATCAACGTCGGTGTCGTAAACGTCTGGCTAAATGAAAGGAAAACTGATTAGCCTTGACAAGTTCAAATGGTTTTGGCGTAGGGTAGGGACTGATGCGAGCTTTGGCAAGCTCCAAAGAGTGAAAGCGTTGGGGGCCAGCGAATAAAATGTCTTTCCCAAAAACCAAGACAGAAACAAAAAAAAAAACAAATATCAAAATGTCCACTGATTGCCAGAGTTGTCGTACAGCTAGCCAAGCAGCTAAGGCAGCCAGGCATTCAGGCAGGCAGCCAGCTAACGGTTAATACAGTCCATCATTATCAGCCACCAACACCGCCTAGCAGTAAAAGAAATGCGTTACCAGCCACAGCAACAGCAACAACAAGAACAACTGCAACATCAACAGCTCTAAGGTCAGTTAGAGACCAAAAATTGTTGTGCACACATACACGGCAAACCAAAAAAGATTCTCACAAGGCTGCTGGCTCAGCGGCTGGTTCTCCTGCGTCTGTCCACAGTCCGTGGAGTCTTAGCCTCAACCTCAGCCAGAGCCTGCAACATGAAACAGGTGTGGCACATCGCGTCTACAATGCGCAACGTAACTACCAGCGCAACAATCACACACACTCACACACAGGCCAAAGCCAAAAACTGGGAGGCTGCCCCAGCCGTTTTGGCCAGGCCATCTCTGAGGTTTGCCTCCATCTGAGGCAGTAAGTGTGCACTGTAAGAAATTGATGAGCTACTTGAATCTAAATACAGAAAAAGAGTATGCTGTGTATAAGGAAACTCCCTTTTCTCCTATGACTTTTCTAGTTGGAGTCAGATTTACAACAAGATTTTCTTATATTGCATAAATATTATATAGTTGGAAGATTTTTAGCAACTTTCGATCATTTGGAATACTTATCGAACTTCACCGAAACTTCCTTAGACTCAACTTAATCTAATTTGCATTTGGTAGATAAATAAACTTAAACGTGCCCATTTGATATATACATTAGCTGTTATGTTATAGCCAAAATAGTTGGCCCATTTTTGGCAAAACAA